GCATCACAGCTCACAGCAACCTCCAACTCCTGGGCTCAGGCGAGTCTCCTGCCTCTGCCTCCCAAGTAGCTGGGACTACAGGCGCCTGCCACAAGGCCCAGCTATTTTTTAGTTGCAGCCGTCATTGTTGTTTGGTGGGCCCAGGCCGGATTTGAACCCGCCAGCTCAGGTGTATGTGGCTGGCACCTTAGCCGCTTGAGCCACAGGCACCAAGCCAGATTCCATTCTTGACTTGTGGAGTTAGAATCCTTTTTTTTTTTTTAAAGTGTGGGGATCTTAAATGTACATTTTTAACAAGCTCCCTTAGGAATTTTTACCCATGAGGAAATCTGAGAAGTACCACCTGAGGGTTACCCTTAACTTCCCTCATTCTAGTCCATTTCTGTTCTAATCAAGTAATTTTCTTTTTTTTGAATGGTAGCTCTCAAATCAACTCCTTTCCATTCCTACAACTGACCTCTAAGTCAGTGTTCTACCTCAACTCTTGATTTCTGTGCCTCCAATCTCCCATGCCAGTTCACACAGGTCACTGTCAGATCAGTTTGTTCTTGAAGGCTCTTTGGCCTGCCCTCACTCAAAAGTCTTCATTGATTTCCTACTGCCAACTAGATGCATTCTAAACTTTGGCCCAAAATGGTCAAGATACATGCTAACCAAGCCTTTTCTCTAATAATTTCCATACTGAGATTATTGGAAAGCTGCTGCTTATGTAGCATTACTAGCGCTGTACTCAAAAATACAACATTTGGAAGGCTACATAAAAATATCTCCATCTTCTGTAATCTTTTGCTAGGTTATTCTCTTTTCACTGCTTAAAAAGGTATTTTTTGGAGGTGTCTGTAGCTCAGTGGGTAGGGTGCCAACCATATACACTGGAGCTGGCAGGTTTGAACCTGGCTTGGGCCAGCTAAACAATAGCAATAACAACAAAAATAGCCAGGCGTTGTGGCGGGTGCTTGTAGTCCCAGCTACTTGGGAGGCTGAGGCAAGAGAATCACTTAAGGCCAAGAATTTGAGGGTGCTGTGAGCTATGATGTGAGCACTCTACCCAGGGCAAAAAAGTGAGACTGTCTCCAAAAAAAAAGGTATTTCTCATAAACAAATACAAGTACACTTTTTGGAAATTGTTACAAAGGCAAACAATTCATTGTGGTGCCTGTGGCTCAAAGGAGTACAGCGCCAGCCCCATATACCAGGGGTGGTAGGTTCAAACGTGGCCCTGGCCAAAAACTGTAAAAAAAAAAAAACGTCAAACATTTCTCCAATATGAAATTCAAATGTGTCCCTGCCTATAACTCCTGCCTTGCACAGTAACTTTACTGAGGTTCTTCCCCTGTCTGCAACACCTATCTGATTAATTCTGTGCTTTCCTTTAAATAGGTCTAAATAGGTCACTTCCCTCATGAAGCCTTTTTTGACTACTCTAATCTATAGATATCTTTCTTCTCACAAGAACAAGGGAGGGAAGTGTAATTGGTGGGACCACACCTATGGTGCATCTTACAAGGGTACATGAGAAATTTATTAAATGTAGAATACAAATGTCTCAACACAGTAACTAAGAAAATGCCCTGAAGGCTATGTTAACGTTTGATGGAAATATTTCAAATTGTATATAAAACCAGCACATTGTACCCCATGATTGCATTGATGTACACAGCTATGAATAAAAAAAAAAAAAAAGAACACAGCAACGTAACTCTCTTTTAATTTCTCTTTTAATATATGAATTATTTACAATTCATCAGTTCTGATGCAGCTCCTTAGTCACAATTTAGCATGGGAACAACCGGGCAAGAGCAGTATGAGTGACTCTGCTCTTTCCTTGGTTTAGCTTTGACCTGAAGCCGGTAGCTCTTTGGAGAATATACATGGACTTTAACGCAATGGGGCCCAGGGATCCTTGCCCCTTACAAGTCCCGGACTGTATTGAGTGGAAGGCCTCAGTTCATTCTCACCTAGCCCATTTGATCTTGACCCTTCCCCTCTCTTGGGTTCAGGGGGTTCCTCGAGTTTTCTTGTTCCCACCCAGGCAGGGAGGACTAGTGTCCAGCTGAGGGTTCTCCTTCCATTGGGCAGGGGTCCGTGCTTGGATAGCGAGTGCATGGACTGGCCCAGCCAGCTCCTCAGACAGGGCGGCGTGTACGAGCCTGTGCCGTTGCAAGGGGCTCAGTCCCTCGAAACGAGAGCTCACCACCGCTACGCGGAAATGCGTCTCGCTGCCGGCTGGGACCGCGTGGCCGCCGCTCTCGTTGCGTAGCTCCAGCACCTCGGGGCTCAGGGCCTGCTCCAATTTGGCGCGAATGGCTGCCTCCACCGGACCAACAGTCCGGGATTCCCCGCTGGCCCGGGATAAACAGACGCGGCCAGCCATGGAGACTAGGCGCAGGATCCGCTGCCCATTCACCATCGGCTACTTAAAGAGAAGCGGACGCAAGTAATGAGGGTCACGGCCGGTCACGGCCTTCCGCTTGGTGACAGCCCACCCGCTCCGCGGTCCCGGCAACTTTCCCCACCCAACTTGCCCCCACTCCCAGCGCGCCCCGCGTGACTCTTACGTCCCGCCCTGTAGGGAGTCCGCCTAGACGCCACACTGCAATATCAGAGACACCGCCCTTTCTCTGTGTGACGTGGAGGAATCTAGCCTCTAGGTGTGGGTAGTGGAGTGACAAGGGGGGATTAGAGAGGCCCGCACGGGAGGCGCCTTAGTTCGTAAGGGCATTGCAAAGAATGAACTGGAAGCTGCAAAAGTTGGGTGTGTGCAACTCCGTGCTTCTGGCTGAGACAATGCCTCTGAGACCCCTTTGAACCCCAGTCTGGGATCTTTCTACCTGTAGCCTCGGCTACTGCGATTCCAGCTCAGCGTCAGAATTCCAGATGTTCCGGAAGAAGATGCAGCGCGGCGTCCCGAAGCGCGCTGGGAAATGGAGTCCTGTGGCCGGAAGGAGCCGCGCGCGCTCGAGGGCTCACGGGTACCGTAGTTCCTGAGTTTCCCCACTCGCGAGGGCTGGGAAGTTCTGAACCAGAACCAGCAAAGACAAAGGGATTTCTCGCACAGTTGGGGCTGGGATTATTTTTCCTATTTTATTGCCAGTAGATCTTGTAGATCATCCGGGGGAGGTGAACCTGTGGCTTTAAGGAAACTTGTGGCCTTTCTGGTCCTTAAGTGTGGCCTTTTGATTGAATCTAACTTCTATTTATTTATTTATTTTTTGAGACAGAGTCTCATTATGTCGCCCTCGATAGGGTGCGGTGGCATCACAGCTCACAGCAACCTCAAACTCTTGGGCTCAGATGATTCTCTTGCCTCAGCCTCCCAAGTAGTGGGGACTACAGGCGCCCTCCAGAACGCCTGGATATTTTTGTTGTTGTTGCCATTGTTGTTTTAGTAGGCCTGGGCCGGGTTCGAACAAGCCAGCCCTGGTGTATGTGACCGGTGCCCTAACCACTCAGCATGGGCGCTGAGCCCGAATGAATCTACATTTTACATAAATCCTTTCAACAAAAGAATTGCAGCAGAGAAAGATGGAGATTTCTTGTCTCCTTTGGTGCTTAAAAATAATGACCTTGAAATCAGAAGGCCTCAAGACCCCTTTTAGATGGACAAGTAAGCAGACAATAGCAATACCGTGTGCTAAGCCTGTGTGACTAAGTATATGATGCCAAGGAGGCGTGTCATCCGGAGTTTAGGGGGTGCAGGTGGGAAAGAGAAAATTTCGAAGAGGAAATTTAGGAGAACAGATGGGACAGCATGAAAACCCATTTTTCATTCCCTCATAGTAAGATATAGCTGTGGTTGCTGAACATGTGAAAGGTGGAGGAGAAAGAATTTTGAGTGTCTTTCCTTCTAGATTAGTTAGGGTGTGGTTGGTTATGTATGGTCTATGCCCAGGGGCTACAGATGATAGTGAGGAATCAGGTGTGGGGAGAGAAGGCAGGGGCCAGAGCATCTGAGGCCTTGTAGCCTTTGATAGGTGATCTTGTTTGTATCCTAGGAGGAGTGGGAAGCTAATGAAGGTTTTAAGCAGGATGTGACAGGATGAGACTTTTCCAAGTTAATACTTTTAAATGTATTTAGATTTTATTTTATATTAATATTTTACATATTTATATATCATCTAAGTATTTCCTCAACTTCTCATTTCAAAAAATTTCGAACACACAGAAAAGTTGAATAGCGCAAGGCAAAATCCTCCACTTTTCATTGGATTCAACACTTTTTGCCTTTATATATATTATCTACTTATACATTTATGCTTATACTCTAGTATGTGACCCCTAAGAATAAGGACCACAATATCCTTATCACATTCAAGAGATTTAATGTCTAATGACATAGTATTTTCCCTAGCCTTTGGCTGACTACATTAGTTTATGCCTGTAATCCAGCACTCTGGGAGGCCCAGGTGGGTGGATTGCCTGAGCTCAAGGTTGGAGACCAGCCTGAGCTAAAGTAAGACCCCGCCTCTAAAAATAGCCAGCCATTGTGGCTGGTACCTGTGATCCCAGCTACTTAGGAGGCTGAGGTAAGAGAATTGCTTGAGCCCAGGAGTCTGAGGTTGCTGTGAGCTATGATGTTGCCATGGCATTCTACCTGGGGCAATAGCTTGAGACTGTCTCAAAAAAAATTTTTTTTCCCTAGTCTTTTAAAAATATTTAAAACTTTCAGAAAAGTTGCAAGATGAGTACAGTGAGTTACTTATTTACCTACCCTTTACCTAGATTCACCGATAACACTTTGCTAGACTTTATTTGTATTTTTCTTTGAATATGAGTGTATATAATAGCAATGATAAAATAATTTTTTTTCCTGAATCACTCCAGTTAGGTACAAAATTCTTTACAACTTCACTGCTATATACTGTCAACATATATCTCCTAAGAACAAGGACATTTTCATACATAACTACAATACCATTATCACATGCAAGAATTTTTTTTTTTAGAGATAGAGTTTCACTTTGTTGCCCTTGGTAGAATGCTGTGGCGTCACAGCTCACAGCAACCTCCAGCTCTTGGGTTTAGGCGATTCTCTCGCCTCAGCTTCCTGAGTAGCTGGGACTACAGGCGCCCACCACAATGCCCAGCTATTCTTTTGTTGCAGTTTGGTTGGGGCTGGGTTGGAACTCACGGCCCTCAGTATACAGGCCGGGGCCCTACTCACTGAGCCACAGGCACCGCCCACACCCAGGAAATTTAACATTCATCCAACACTATTGGGAGGTGTAGGAGACTGAGCACCAGGCTTGTAGGAGCAGTCACTGGTTCTTGAGGGAGGTGCCAGGAGTGGGACAATCTCCTAGTTGGCATGGAGATGTTTTGCAGCCCGGAGACATGCCCTCAAGCAACTGAGTGCTTTAAATGAGATATGATCGGTAGCTTGGCGGCACCCATACCTCAGTCAAAAAAACAAAAAATAAACAAACAAAAAACCACCATATATTAGATAATAGTTGTGGGAATACCTCAGTAGGGCGCTGGTCACATACAACTAGGGTGGTGGGTTAGAACCGGGCCCGGGCCTGCTAAGCAACAAGGACAACTACAACCGAAAAAATAGCCGGGCGTTCTGGGGGGTATCTGTAGTCCCAGCTACTTGGGAGGCTGAGGCAAGAGAAATCACTTAAGCCAAGAGTTTGAGGTTGATGTGAGCTGTGACGCCACGCCACTCTACCCAGGGCAACAGCTTGAGATTGTCTCAAAAAAAAAAAAAAAAAATCGTAGCTCGTTAGCAAGCAGGTGTTGCACCTTGAGCAACTGTGGGACGCCAGGGTGGGAGTCCAGACTGTGGGAAAGAGCACGTAGCAACCATTAAGCACATAGTCCTTGTACGTGCCCCCCACACACACACCTATTGTACAGTTTCAATAAAAGGCCACAGCAGAGGTTACTCGAGGCTTCCCTGCACCTATGGGAAGTCCACCTCTTGCAAGCACTTGTACTTCTATCTGTGTCCCAGCTGTTTTATTTGCGCAGTTACGGGGTGCCACACCAGCACCGACAGGGAGGTTCTGGTGTAGAACAGGGGTAGGGTCCCCAGGAAAGGAGAGGAGGCCAGTCCAGGGACTAGGAAAGACTTTTTAGAAGAGGGGAAAAGGAGAATAGAGACTGACCAGGTGTCAGCTCACAGTTGCAAAAGGGTTTTTATTAGCCTTATCAGTATAGCTGAAATGGGGCAGTGAGCCTGGAGTACTACGGCCCGGGGCTCTTCTCTAGTGCTGCTCAGAATTATGGAGCATCCTTAGGGTCGGGATTATAGGCACGTCCTCAGTACCTGCTAGGATATGGATAGATGTTTCCAGGAACTCTGGCCTTGAGGCACTCCAGGAGTTTGGGGAGGGGATTGTTGGTTTCTGATCTGATTTCTAAAATGGCTGTACTCCTGTCAGAGTTATGAGAATTCCTTTCCCACAACTATTATCTAATATATGGTGGTTTTTTGTTTGTTTGTTTGTTGATACAGAGTGTCACTTTGTCACCCTCAGTAGAGCGCTGTGGCGTCCTTGCTCACAGCTCAAGCGATTCTCTTGCCTCATCTTCCCGAGTAGTTGGGACTATAGGTGCCTCGCACAGCACCCAGCTGTTTTTAGTGCTGAGGTCTCACTTTAGCTTAGGCTGGTCTTGAACTGGGAAACTGAGGTGATACACCTGCCTTGGTCTCCCGGAGTGCTGGGATTACACGTATGAACTGCCGTGCCCAGCTTTATTATCTAATATATGCTTGACATTCAATTTTTCCCAACTGTCTCATTCCTGTCTGTTAAGATTTGAATATGTTCCTTTTAAAATTAATTTTGAGGCTCAGCACCTGTAGCTCAGTGGCTAGGGTGCCAGCCACATATACCGGAGCTGGCAGGTTCGAATCCAGCCCAGGTTGTAGTCACTCAATGACAACTACAACCAAAAAATAACCAGGCACTGTGGCTGGCACCTGTAGTTCCAGCTACTTGGAAGGCTGAGGCAAGAGAATCGTTTAAGCCCAAGAGTTTGCTGTGAGCTGTGATGCTATGGCACTCTACCCAGGGTGACATAGTGAGACTCTGTCTCAAAAAAACAAAACAAACAAACAAACAAAAAATAATAAAATTCATGTTGAAATTTAATCCCCAATGTTTTGGTATTAAGAGGTGGGGCTTTTAGGAGGTGATAGGCTATGAGGGCTCTACCCTCAAGAAGGGATTGATTAGTGCCTTATGAAAAGGCTGGAGGGGGCTCGGTGCCTATAGCTCAACCGGCTAAGGCGCCAGCCACGTACACCTAAGGTGGCGGGTTCGAATCCCCAGCCCGGATCCGCCAAACAACAATGATGGCTGCAACCAAAAAATAGCCGGGCGTTGTGGCGGGCGCCTGTGGTCCCAGCTACTTGGGAGGCAGAGGCAGGAGACTCGCTTGCGCCCCGGCGGTGGGGGGGGGTGTGGGGGGTAACGACCTCGCGGTCTCCCCCGGGGGGCGTGAGAGGCTCTGTCTCAAAAAAAAAAAAAAAGAAAAGAAAAGGCTGGAGGGGGTAAGTTTGCCCCTTGTGTCCCTTCTGCCATGTGAGGACACCTGAATGGCACTTCTATGAGGAACTGGCTAACGTGCCAGAGCCTTTATCTTGGATTTCCTAGACTCCAGAACTGTGAGAAAATAAATTTGTTTTTTATAAATAACCCAGTCTGTGGTGTTTTGTTATAGTAGGCACACAAAGACAGTGCCCTATATAATATTCAATTTTCGGAAATGCAATTCAGGATAATGCATTGCATTAACTTTGACTTTAAATTTGTATTTTGCAAAGATCAC